TGTCAACTTGACACAAGAGTCATCTAAGAGGAGGGAACCTCAACTGAAAAAAAATGCTTCCATAAGATTGGCCTTTGGGCAAACTATAGTGCATTTTCTTGATTAATGGTTGATGTGGGTGGGTGATGCCACCTGGGATGGTGGTCAAAGTCTTTTCTCACGTTCCTTTTTTTTTTTTTTTTTTTTTTTTTTTTTTTTTTTGTCTTCATGACATGTGCACATAATCCCCTGCATACAATAGGCTTTCTTGTATTCTGAGGTAGGGCTGTGGTCTGGAAGCCTGAGTGTGGGTCATTGAATGTGTTAATTCTGACTTCCAAGGGGCTTTCCTTTCTTGGCTCTTCCGCTTGTTGGGGTCTGTTGGTGGGAGCCACTGATTCAGTCTCTTCTCAGAGGTGTGTTAAGCGTTCTCCCCCATTTTTATCAGTCTTGCCCTTGATGTGTAGGGAGATTTATCTTAACTCCTCTCTTTTCTGAATTCCCCCAGGGCATTCTCTAGGTTTCCTCCTTCCCGGTCCTTTCCGTTGGCTAGCTGTCAGCAGGTGGGCGAAGCCTTCTCCCTCACACCCACTCCTCCTGGAAGCTGCCTGCAGGTTTCTGCCCCCCACCCACCCCCTCACTGTTTGTCCCCTGCTGGTCACCCTCCTGGGATATTCTCACAATTCCATTAGTCTCCTGCTCCTGTCCTGTTACAGTTTTTGTCTCTAACACCCGTGGAAATTCCTATCAATAGTCTCTAAATCAGTGCTCTTTCCTTCTTGGATTTTTGTGGGACTTCAGATTCCTTCTACCAAGACTCTGGAGACCACCAGACCTTCCCCATATAAGAAGTCTGGCAGGCACTTCAGAGTCCTCCTTAGGACTTGGCCCCATGTTTTCCCCGTTCTCTGTCTGCTTAGAAGTTTCTCACCATAATACCTACAGCTCTGACCTCTTGATCTCCACAGTTCTCTTCCCATGGCTGTGGAGTCTTCACGTCATTCAAATTATGCTCCGTCTCAATTTACTGTTCTCTGGGAAACTGGGAACAAGGAAAATAGGAAGGCTGCCCCGAATTCGGTGACAGCTGTCTTTAGGACATACACAAGGCTGCCAGGCCTATAGTTAAAACACCCCTTGTGGTGGGTTTCAGTTCGGTGGCTGTTGTTTCTCCTGGACACAGTGACATCTTTGGACACAGGGACATCTGCATTCCATGGCTTTCCTGAGCTCAAGAAGGTTAGAGATGAGGTACCTCATCTGTATGGGGCCATCTGGGCAAAGATTCATTTATTTCAGATTTAGCTCATGTCAAGTGGAGTAAGGAAGGAGAAATATGGACTCTCCTCAAAAGGGCTAATGAAGAAGGCAGGGGAATAGCCCAGGACAAAAAAAGAAATAGCCCACAGTGGTCACCTAAAACAACTGTCAGGCTGAGTTTTAGGCAGAACCCTGTGGCTTCTGGGAGTCACCAACAGCCTAAAGGAGCAAAAGGCTGCAGGCTGCCATAGAAGACCGTGGAATAAATAGCATGACAGATTCAGAGGGAAAGAGGACTGCCAGAAACTCAAAGGGACAGCAAAGAAATAAAATCTGCATGGGAGGCAGTAAAACCCCAAGAGTGACATAGAGACAAATTGACAGGGTAGTGTGGCGCAAATACTTCACACACCATTCAATACCTGCCGAAGGACCAGAGATGAAACAGCTTGGGGGAGAAGCAGGAGAAACAAATAGGCAGGGGCAGTCATTCCCAGGCACTGATGACCTCTGAGGTTTGCACTGAGACAAGAATGATACACAAGAGCTCCCCCAATTTACTCATGAAGAAACCTGGACCCACTGGGCATGGAAAGCTAAGGAGAAAAGCTTAGGTGAGGAGGTTGAAGAGACTCAACCTGCCCTAGAAGGTACCAAACCAATGACCACAGAGTCCCCTCTTTAACATTGGATTCGAAGATCAGAGAGGTTAGGGAAAAATGTTGGCTGGTTTATTTGTTTTTAATGTGTCAACTTCTGCCCCCAAACAATCAGAGCACTGGCTCATAAGGACATCTAGGATAGGATTTGACTTGAAGACACCTTCTTCAGCTAGCCCTCACCCAGCTCTACACAGGGCAGCACCTCCCTTCTGCTTGTAGTTCAGGACATCTTTTGTGGGGTGACTTTCTTTCCATGTCAGTGACCACTGACAGATGAGTCCTGTTGGCCTAGTTTGAAATCCTGTCTTTATTCTTTTCTACAAAACCACAGCCATAACAAATAATCCAATGTCAAAAAAAAAAAAAAAGCTCAATGTTAGGCAGTCTAAAGAATTGTGCTGTTTTAACAGCACCCACCAAAGTCACTGTTTTCTTTCACCATTTAGTGACAGAATTATTCATGGAAGGTGTCATGTTCATTAACCTAGGATTGGGGGTGCTGTGTCTGCTTGGTCAGCTTGGAGGAACAGAGTGGAGAAGGACTAGCTTGGTACACTGAATCTCAACAGTGATTAGGGCTCATGTTTCTTGTGTTCTGCAACATGGGTATGAATTATTCCCAGCGACACAAAAGAAATGCCCCCTCTTCTTTCACGAAAGAAGACCCCGGAGGTGAGGCCAGGACCCAGGATGTCTCCTTTCTCTGGTTCTAGCTCCAAAGGACAGGGGGCTTTGTTGTCTGAGAAGGGTGAGACCAGGGGAACTGCCTCTCTGGGAACTGCGGTGGGCATACATTTATGTTTTCCCTTTGTTTGGTCTTCGTGGGAAGGTTTCGGGTGCAGAGGCCCAGGCATGACATTTCTCTGCTTTTTCTTCTGGGGAATTTGAGGCTTCCCAAGGACGATCAACCTGAGAGAGAAGCAGAAGAGCTCGAGCAGCGCCAAGGCCACGCCTCTCCCACGGAAGCGCAGGTTATTAACGGGGAATTCTTTACAGCTGGCCTGGAGGAAATTTTTGGCTGTAAACTGTCATGCACCGTAGCCTTCCTTGAAAAGGCTGTGGTCGAGGTTCGGGGGACAAAGATCAGAAATCAACCACAGAAGAGGGTAGGGACAAAATAGCTAAGCCTTGAAAGAATTGCTTCTAACCCGGAGTGTAGAGAGTTCACTGCTCACTGTAGAAAAAGTAACATTTATTTGCCTCCTCCGGTTTGGAGAACCGATCCAAAGCGATCTTCCTCGAGCTTCGTGGGCGATGGAGAAAAATCCATCAGTGAGCTACCACATTCCCAGGGCCGGCTCCGCCTTCACGCCACTTTTGGACACCCCCCACCCCCATGTCTCCTCCACCTAGACCCTTTATTCCAAGTGCCCGGAACTCAGAGAGTGTCAGCCCTTAGGGTCTTCCGCCCTTGAAGGTGGCATCCCTCCTGCAAACTCCTGCAAACCCACAACACAAGCTGGTTGGTGGGCGTTACGGGAGGGTCGGGGTTGGGTGCAAATGGAGGCCTTTTGCTGTCTGTGCAGATGGAACCGTCTCCTTGGGGTCAGCCCGAAATTTCTTTACATCCTAGACTACAAAAGAACAAGTAAGCGGTATAGCCTGGCGCCTCACAGCTCCCGGTAATCAGTCGGAAAGGCAGAGGAAAGGAGTCCAGGACGCGTTCCCATATCACTCCGGGAGTGCCTTCACCCCGCTGCCCCCCCCCCCCGGAAAACCCTCTCCCAGAAGTAGGAGGCAGGTAGAACACGGAGCCGGCTTCTGGCTTACCCCACAGCCCCGACCCCAAAGACTTCCCAGGGAGACTCAGAGAGGCACAGAGCTTTCACAAGTGGGTGCTATTCCAAGAAGCTTCCGGGTGGGGTGCGCTTGTGGAAACGGAGGCTTAGAACCCAGACCCTCGTTAAAGAGCTGGGCGCGATCTCTGGCTTCCTTCCCGCTTCCTGGGCTCCCGTTTTAGAGGCATGTTATTGTTTAAAGAGACCTCATTGAACTATTTCCTGCTCTTTGTCACCTTCCCCTCGCTCTCCGGCAGAGGTTCTCACCGAGAGGTAATAAACCAACTGCTGCCCACACCGCTTGGTGCGGAGGCGGGTGGGGAAACGCGCCCGGCCAGCGTTCCACCAATCCGCGGGGCAAAGAGGCCCGGGACTCCCGGGGCCATACTCGGTGCAGGCGCAGCCTCCGTCACCAAAGTCCAGCTTTTATGTGGGACGCGAGGACACCTCCTACTAGGGTCGCTATCTGGACAGATCCACACTGGGCTTCCCTCTCCACGCAGGTGAAGGTCGTGGGGAACCCGGACGACGAGGTGGGAGTTAGTGAGAGTCCACTGGGCGAGGGGACGTGTCCTGAAGCTGCTGCACCTCTGGGGGCTGAGGTTTCGGAGAGGTCAGGGAGACCGGGAGACGCAGATCCGCCGTAGTCCCGCTCAGGTGCGCGCAGCGTGGACACTCCGCGGGGCACAGCCGCAGGCGCTGGGCTGCGCTTGGAGAGCTCGGAGTGGAGAGCTTAGCAGTTGCTCTGGAAGCCTCGGGCCTGGGTGGCTTCGGCCCTGCTCCTTGCCCTCCCCCCAGGGTCCGCCCCGCCGCTTTGATGGAGGTGCAAACATTTGGGAGCGGGCGGGGGTGTCGGGACTGCGCCCGACGCTTTCCTTACAGGAAGCGCGCGCGGGAGCCCATTGTTGGCCCCCCGCCTCCGGGCCCGCCCGGCGGGTCTGATATGGCCGCGCACCGCCAATGGGCAGCGGCTCGGCACTTCAAAGGGTGTCCCGCCCAATCCGCCGCGCCCCCTGCGAGGCCACTTCGGCTGTATTTATGGGGAGGGGACCCATTTTCTCTCCCCCAGAGACTTACTCTTGTCGCGCCTTGTGGGAGTTCAAGTGGAACCACGGCGGCTCCCCAGTCCCTCTCCCCTCTCCCCGCCCCCCTCCCCCTATATCCCGGTCCTGGCCCTCCTTTGGCGAATGTGCTGGGACCCAGGTGTGGTCTTTGGGTTTCCCGAGTGACCCTTTTTCTTGGAAAAGTGGTGGTGGAGAAGTGAAGGTGACTCTTGGGTAGGCAGTCAAGACTCTGGGGCGGTGGAGAGGGCGGCAGGAGAATGAGCTCCCCGGGCACAGAGAACGCAGGGAAGAGCCTGCAGTACCGAGTGGATCACCTGCTCAGCGCCGTGGAGAGCGAGCTACAGGCGGGCAGCGAGAAGGGCGACCCCACGGAGCGCGAGCTGCGAGTGGGCTTGGAGGAGAGCGAGCTGTGGCTGCGCTTCAAGGAGCTAACTAACGAGATGATTGTGACCAAGAACGGCAGGTAGGTGCGTGCTGCAAGTCGGCAGTCTGGGACTTGGAGAATGCCTCTCATAGGGAGCACCCTTTCTCTTCTTAAGGCCGACTTTGTTTCTTCCTGCTGCGTTTAGTGCCCCTAGGAGATTCCTAACCCAAGTTTCACTGATGACCTTTCACTGACGAAACCTGGGGAAGGAGATATGTGAACTCTGGGTTTCCTAGGTCTACACTGGTGTGTGCAGACTTGCCTGAGTCTATGAAAGCCTTGGCCAGGTTTGTCCCTTTGCTGTTCCAAGAGACCATGGGCTTAGTGAGGAGATGGATTTGGTCCCGGGGCTGAGAAAGATCAGGGACCGATTGCGGGGGCTCTTCTTTAACTGGAATAAACACTTTGTGCCAGGATTCCTCTCTCCAACTGGATGGGTCAGTTTCGGGGTCCTCCTGCTGTGCCCTGTCTTCCAGGAGGATGTTCCCGGTGTTGAAGGTGAACGTGTCGGGTCTGGACCCCAATGCCATGTACTCCTTCTTGCTGGACTTCGTCGCGGCTGACAATCACCGCTGGAAATACGTGAATGGGGAGTGGGTACCTGGGGGCAAGCCAGAGCCTCAGGCGCCCAGCTGCGTCTACATCCACCCAGACTCGCCCAACTTCGGGGCCCACTGGATGAAGGCGCCCGTGTCTTTCAGCAAAGTCAAACTCACCAACAAGCTCAATGGAGGAGGCCAGGTATCCTGTACAGGAGACAGCCGCTGGGCCCCAGCCCTGAAGGCAGAGGGCTGCAGCTCTCCCAGATGGGAGCCTAGAAGGGCTCCTTCAGCTTCTGTCAGTTTTACAGAAGCCACCACAGGCTTCCCCAATTAAATCTTCAGTACTGTTTATATTAAGCTGATAAGGTTCACACTGAGGCCTGTCGAAGGAAGCGGGAGTCCTCACTCGCCCTGGAAGGCTCAGTACTGGCTGGCCTGCCTCTTGGGATAACCGCTCAGGCCCCATCATCACTCCTAGTGGCACAGCCAGGTGGGCTTTGATCCTGAATCCTCAGTCACATTAAAGTCCAAAGGAAACACGGTGGGAAGTCTGTACAAATGTGCACATCCTACTCTTCCCAAAAGCCTTTCCCTGGAGCCTGTTCCTAGAAAACTCACTCCAAGTTGCCATCAAGCCAGGCATTGGAAATTGTCTGTGGCCTTATTCTGACAGGGTTTATTTAATAGTGCATAGCACCTCATGTCCTAGTTCCAGACCAGCCGTGGGAAGCAGATGTATAAAACTCTGAGAGACACCAACTATGGGCCCCATGCAGTTTCCTGGAGACTTTTTTTTTTTTTTTTTTTTTTGGTAGCTGGATCCACTTTTCACTGAGTGGGTCCTGTGGAGATTGTGGCATGGAGATAGGCACAGGTTTCCATTCTTGCTCCTTATCTCCTGCAGATCATGTTGAACTCCTTGCACAAGTATGAGCCTCGAATTCACATCGTGAGGGTTGGGGGCCCACAGCGCATGATCCCCAGCCACTGCTTTCCTGAGACCCAGTTCATAGCTGTGACTGCCTACCAGAACGAGGAGGTGAGACTTCCGGAAGGGAGAGGGTCTCTCACTGTGCCCTCCATTCATACATAGGCTGGGGACTGGGAAGTAAAGTCACAGTGCTGAAGACAGGCTGAATTTGGTGCAGATTTACCACTTCTGTGGTAAGAGGGGAAAAGTTTAAAATACTCATTCAAGCATTTTGCTGTTTGTCTCCAAAGATGATCTAAATCAATAAATATCTACCACATTCTTGAAAGAGGCATGAGCCACAGCTTTGTGCTTTTAAAACTTCCCGAAAGGGTAGGTGACAGTCCCTGGTCTCAGCAGCATGGCCTCCTGGAAAACGCTGTCAAGGGGCTTTAAAGGCTCTGCTGTTGACCCTTAGACCTCCACAGTAACCCCAGGTTGTGTTTGACTTATAGTCATGATAGAGACTAAGTTTATTGGGAATTCCACTTAGAAATTGTTTTTCTTTGTAATTTCTCAGCATTTCAGACCCTGAATATTTCAACTTGTTTCTATTCTTTATTTTTTTCCTTCTTTGGTAGTGTTTCCCCCCTCCCCCTCCATTTGATCGGGGGGGGGGGCGTCTTGCTGTGTAGCCCCGGCTATCCCTATGTTCACAGCAGTCCTCCTGCATTCTGATCATTGGGCTTACAGGCCTATGATACTTCCCACCCCTGCTCCTCACCATTAAATCCTCTGGTAGCCAACACTGTATTAGTAAATACATCTTCTTGTTTTTCAGATCACAGCCCTTAAAATTAAATATAATCCATTTGCAAAAGCCTTCCTTGATGCAAAAGAAAGGTGAGAATTCTAACCCCACTCCTGGGACAAAGGACCATGGAGAAGGAATGCTAAGCACTGTCTGCAGGCAGTGCTTCCTTTTGACCACTCTGATTTTTTTTTTTCCAGAAATGACCACAAAGATGTGATGGAGGAACCCGGAGACTGCCAGCAGCCGGGGTACTCTCAATGTACGGTTTGTTGCACCTCCACCCTCCGTGTCTGCTGGCTTGCTTCAGTTCTAAGATCTGCTAAAACCAGAACCCAGAGGGAAGCTGAGGGGTTTCTGGGAATGGTGGGGGGTAGCAGGATGGCCCTACTTTGTACCCCAGGCACAGGCCCTTTGCTTTGGAGGTTGCCTGACCATCCTGGGCTTTGGATACTGGCAGGCCAAAGAACTGTGGGTTTGTGTGTTGTTCTGCAGTGGCTGGGGGTAGAGTGGACTCCTGGGAGTTTATTTAGACTTGGGTCTGATGAGAACTGAGCTTATTTCCATCCCCTTGGAGATGGCTTCCACTCTTGTTAGTGGCTGAAAACTGAATGGATGTTTTTAGAGGCACACATGACCAACTGTGATGCTCAGTCCCCTCCGCCCCTGATTTGGGTGGCTTGTAAGGTAGCTAGTTCTTTTAGAATTACTTTAGGAGTTCTGTTAGCCAGAATTGGGGGTGGGGGTGGGCAGATCTATGCAGACACACCTAGGCCTGGCTTCTGCCTTCTGAGGAGGAGCCTGAAAATATTGAGAGAGAAGTCCCTGCTGAAGGGTAGAAGGGTCTTGCTTTGCAGTTCACATCAGCAGCTGCCAAAATGAGCCTAGCACACTCTGTCTTTAAACTATGACCAGCTATTCTAAACTGTTGTCTTAATACCATCTCCTAATGAATTTAACAAACAGGTCCCCACTGTGGCTCATGGGTAATCACTTGTGAACAGATCAGGGAGAAATGGGCAAGAGATGGTCTATGTATGGGGCCACACAGGACGATGTGGGCATGTGTGCGTGCTCCTGCCTTCTTTTAAGTATTGTCTGAAGAACTGTCTTGTTTGGAAATTGTCTCATGGAGGGCTCCTTTTGCTCAGTCTAAAAAATGACTTTATAAAAAAGTATGAGGAAAAATTAGTTTTAGTGGATATAGTGATTTTTGGAGGGGAGTTATAGTGGAAAGAATGTGGGGGGGCTCTTGTCTTCTTGCTACATCCTTTGAACAAGCTTTGCCACTCTTGCTCAGCTGATAGAAAACTCCTTGCCAGTGGAACAGAAATCCCAGAAGGGCTGGGGGAGGCCTCAGGTGTAACCCCCTCTAAGAGGGAGCTTTGGGCTCAGCTCAGGTCACTCCAGAGAGCTAGGCATCCCAGGCTCCACACTGATAATTTTGAGACTGGTTTGCCCTGAGGGGTGGGGCATTGGGAATTCCTCACTTCTAGAGACTTCCTGGGGCAAGGGGCCCTTACTCAGCATGCTTTTCTCACAGCAGGGGGGTGGCTTGTTCCTGGCACCAGCACCCTCTGTCCACCTGCCAGCTCCCACCCTCAGTTTGGAGGCTCACTGCCTCTCCCTTCCACACATGGCTGTGAGAGGTACCCAGCTCTGAGGAATCACCGCTCGTCACCATACCCCAGTCCATACGCTCATCGGAACAACTCTCCAAGTAGGTTCTGTACCTCGGTTCACCTGAGGCTGGGGTGGCCGTGAGGGGACCCCTCTGGAGAGGCATCTCTACAGGGGTGCAGATAGGGAGCCTAGCTCCTAGTGGCTCCTGAAGAGACTTGGATAGGATGGTGCTTTACCAGAGGTCCCTGTGGAGGCTTTCAGTATCCGTGGGCCTTTTTCACTGAGCTCTAGTTTAGATAGATGTTCCATGACCCTCTCTAAAGTGAATATATTGGGTTAGCCGTGTGCAAGCATTTTCAGCTAGACCAAAGATTCTCCAGGGTAGAATCCAGGCTCCTCTGTGTCACCTGAGAACCAGCCACAGCTCAGGTCCACATAGACCCAGAAGCTGGAGGGTGTGGTGGCCCTCTAGACAACACTGCTAACTTCCCTGATTTCAGCCCCAGGACATCCAGAGACCTCTAACCCTGTCTGCTCAGACCAAACTTTGTCTGCTCCAAAAGGAGGGGGAAATGGCTAAGGAACACCATAAAACAATTAAGCAATTACAGCTGATTCTAAAGGAAAGGCAACAGTTCCTGAGACTTACTCAACCAGAGGCTAGCCTCTGAGGTGAGGAGATCATACTTTTAATGTGGTGAGGCCATGGTTTCCATAGCCTGTTCACCTCTGTGGAAAAGGTGAACTAAAGAAAGTGGCAAGCGTTTTTTTTTTTTTCTTTTTAAATTGAGTATTCTAGTCGCTCAGTGGCTCAGCACTTGCCTAGCATTTGAAAGGCTTTGAATCTGATCCCCAATGCCACCAAATAATATGTAAATAGCATAAGAATAAAAAGAAAGATAAGCAATACCATCAAGACATCTGGTGGGATGATAAGAGAAAGCTTATGTCAACTGGGATATATTTTCAAATCAGATTAAAAAAAAATATTGGCCCCCTGGCTGCTTAAGTGGTTTACTGAGTGTCTGATACCCATGCAGCATTTGCTTGCAGTGTTGGGTTGGGGCAGCTGCTAGTATCATTTTGTTGCATTTTATTCCTTTTGAAGACCTGTCAGGTAACTCCCCTCTCCACCTCACTCAGCCTATGCCGACAATTCGTCTGCATGTTTATCCATGCTGCAATCCCATGACAACTGGTCTAGCCTCGGAGTGCCTGGCCACACCAGCATGCTGCCCATGAGTCATGGCACCAGCCCACCTACAGGCTCTAGGTAAGTGTGTGTGTGTGTGTGTGTGTGTGTGTGTGTGTGTGTGTGTGGCGGGGGAGTGAGGCCAAGCCCTCCTGTGGCTTCTGCTGGTTTCATTTCTATCAGCCTCCCCCCCCTTCTGCCTCCAAATCCCACCTGTGGTTGGCTGGATTTGTGTTTATAATTAAACTAAACTGGATGGGACCCAGGGACACTTGGTTCAAGGACTGTTTAGTTTTGATTACCTGCATTTTTTCTCCTTGTGGTCTGTTGTACTTACTCAGACCAGGGTTCAGCCTTACCCTGGCACTTAGCATGTGCCGTGATGAGCAGAGCCTCAGTTTCTCCATATGTAAAAAGATACTAAATAGCCCCACCCTCAGAATGTTTCTTCAAGGTTGATGGGGTTGGCCCGTGTCATTTAAAGCAACATTGCAGAACCTTTATTCAGTTAGGGCAATATGTTTATTGGCTTTTCTGTGGATAAAGGAGTAAAAGTCCTTAGTGGTAGTATGCTGGGAAATAGGTAAAGGATGGAGACTGTCTGGCTAGCAAGTTCTAGAATAGGAAGGTTCAGCAACCACCCCAGTGAGGTAATACATTCCCTCAGGCTTGTTACTCCTCCACAGTACTGATATAAGAGCAAAGAATAGCAAAGCTAGATGCTAGCACTGATTGTCCAGTGAGGAAAGTTCCCAAAGATATTAATTCTGGGACAGTGGTGTTGATCCATCTGTTAGCTCACAATGGAGTCAGCCTGCGGTCAGCCTTGACCTCAAAGGTGGACCTGATAGCCTAGAACAGTGGTTCTCAACTTTCTTAATTGCTACCCTTTAATGCAGTCCCTCACTTTGGAGTGACCCTCTACTATAAAATAATTGCATTGCTACTTCATAACTATAATTTTGCTGCTGTTATGAATCTATGTCAGCATCTGATATGCAGGATCTCTGCTATGCAACTCCCAAAGGGGTCACGACCCACAGGTTGAGAACTACTGGTCTAAGACATTAAATGTTTGCCTAAGGTCTTAGCTATTCTAGCTTAGTATATAGATCTTTACTAATAAGAATCTAGCTGTCTAGTGCTTTTTAGACATAGGGTCCTAGTATGTAACCCAGGCTGGCCTTGAACTCACTACACAGTCTAGAGCTCAAAGTCTTCATCCTCCTGCTTCAGCCTCCTCAGTTGTTCCAGTTATAGGCAGTTGCCACTCCATCCACCTTAATCTGTCATTTAACATAGTTCAATAAAATTGGTTTATAGGGTGTAGTCCAGGGGGCTTAATTCTCATGTCAGTGTGCTCATTTTATAGATGAGGCAACCTGAAAAGCAGTCATGGGGCGAGTTAGAGAGCAGAGATGGGCACAAGCCCAGCTCTGGGGTCCCTTGCATGTTGACGTGGCTAACACACTGTCAATTGGATGAGATGGGGCCAGCAATGATGTGTTCTCAGGAATGCTCTCTTTGAATCCAGGGATTGCTGCAGTGGGGTTGGGAACATTAGCTAATGAAGTAGTCACTCAGTGCCAATTCTGTGTGTTAATGAGCACAGAGCTCAACCCCCTACTGTCCACTGTGCTTATACACACCTTCCTTTAGTTTGCTTCATATTGATTTTTGTCTCGTAGTACAGTAGCTTCTGTACACATGGTAATAGTGGACAACAACCCCCCCTCCTGCAAAGCCCTGTGATGATGCAATCACTGGCAATAGTGTTCTGAGTACTCCTTGGACCCCTCCACCTCGTCCCCACTTAGCTCATTTATTTAGAGCCTCTTCCCAGCCCCTGACATCTGTTTTCTTCATTTCAGCCAGTACCCCAGCCTATGGTCTGTGAGCAATGGTACCATCACCCCGGGTTCCCAGACAGCCGGGGTGTCCAACGGGCTAGGAGCCCAGCTCTTTCGAGGCTCCCCGGCACATTATGCACCCCTGACGCACACGGTCTCAGCCACCACGTCCTCTGGCTCCCCGA